CTGTGGGCAGGCAGTTCTGAATGACAGAGCCAGAAAGGCCAGGCCACCTGTGACCCTTCCGGCTACTTACCAATTAGGTAAGGCACGCCTCCCCCAGGGAGTCAAGAATGGAGGGGATTGGAGAGAAAGGTGGAAGTTTTCTCCCACAAAACATCTGATGGTAGATCCAGATGTTGTGAGGCTCGAAGCTTATGCAATTTGGATGGTCCTCTTTTCAAAACAATATTACAAGTGCAAAATTAGGTAGAAGGCTTGGAAGAGGCCAGAGCAAGGCCTGAAACTTACATGGTACAGCTTTAGAGTAAATCCTCCTCTGCTCTTGACAAGGTAGAAATATCTTTTTTTTTTTTTTTAATGTTTTTAGCCCTGGCTGGTTTGGCTAAGCGGTTGGAGCATTGGCCTGCAGACCAAAGAGTCACAGGTTCGATTCCAGTCAAGGGCACGTACCTCGATTGTGGTTCAGTCCCCGGCCCTGGTCGGGGTTATGCAGGAGGCAGCCAGTTGATGTGTCTCTCTCACATCAATGTTTCCCCTATACACACTCTACCTAAAGATAAATAGAAAAAATATCCTCAGGTGAGGATTTAAAATATATATATATATGTTTTTATTGATTTATTAGAGAGAGAGGAAGGGAGAGGGAGAGAGAAACATGGATCGGTTGCCTCCTGCACGCCCCCTACTGGGGATCAAGCCCACAACTCAGGCATGTGCCCTGACAGGGAATTGAACCCGTGACCTCTCGGTGCACAGGATGACGCCCAACAAACTGAGCCACACCAGCCAGGACTAGAAATATCTATTTTAGTGCGCACATCTGTTAGGATACTCTCAAACTTGACCTAGCTTAGTAATAAAGAACAGTGGCTCACATTAATGAAGAGTCCAGTTGTCAGACAGGCTCCGTGATTGGTTGATCTAGCAGCTTAACAATGTCTTAATGACCCAGTTTCTTCGCATCTCTACTCTGTGCCATCCACAGTATCTATTAGTCCTTAGGTGGCTCCCTTCAAGTTTACAGCATGAATGCCAGCAAGCAACAGGGACTACCAGCTTATTGTTTCCTGTTAGAAGAGAAAGGACAAGTGCCTCAATCATAGGACAAAAGACCTGAGCTTCCAACTATGACCTGTTGGATTCAAGAGTCCAAATGAATGACTAAGGCTGAAGTCAAGTACTGGGGCAAGAGGGCTAGGATAACCTTACAGGTCAGGCCAACCAGGGCCCACCTGCAGAGGTAAGAGAAAGACAAAGACATGACTCATCCTGACCACGTGGCTGCTGCATAATGGAGGAGTGGAACTGAGGTTGGTGAAACATCCACAATATTAACCCAGAGGTTACAGTATGGAGTAATCAGCTAATGTACTGAAAGTTTTCCAGATTTTATTTGTTTTACTTTTCCCCCCCCAGTCTTCATTTTCCTCTCCCACGAGACTGAGAACCAAGACTAGTTTACCCAGCACACAGAGTTAAGCATCCAAAAAGTATTGTGAGGATACATGAATTAACCACAAACTTATGAGAAACAACTGGTTGGAGCGTTAGGTAACTGAAACGGTTTATGTAAAAATGAAAATATGCAGGAGTATAAAGTCAAATCGACAAAAATATTTAGAGATGAGTGGATTTAGGCTGCATTGACAGATCAGGCCAGACCTCATGTCTTACCAAAGAAAGTGTGAAGAGGATGAAGGGCTCTTCACACTCGAACACAACTGAGGTGTCAGAGACTCAATCAGACGTCAAATGGTTTCACAAAGAAACAGATCAGTTAAAAGTGAAGGATAATTAAGATAACTTTTATTTTGACATTATATGGGAAGGACAATTAAATATGAGCACTAGCCCTGTCCGGTTTGGCTCAGCTGTTAAAGCATCGGCCCACAGACCAGAGAGGCCTGGGTTCAGTTCCCGACACAGGCAAGTACCTTGGTTGCAGTTTGTCCCCGGCCTAGGTTGGGGTCATGTGGGTGGCGACCACTTGATGTGTCTCTCTCACATGGATGTTTCTCTCTCTCTCTTCCTCTCTCTCCCTCCCCATCTGAAGATAAATGCAAAAATGTCCTCGTGTGAGGATTAAAAAAGAAATATGAGCACTAAATTTGTAGGTATGTAATGGAATACCTTGAGCTAAAGGTAATGATTTAACATATTTTTCTATGGAAAAGTAAAGCAAAAATCAAGTACTCTTTCTTAGTGTGATAAAGCTACTGGAAAGAAAGATTCATGTGACAATTTTGTATGACCTATTATTTTCCATTTTTTACATCTTTTATTCTCCTGAAAAGATGGACAAAAATCTAAACTTTAGAACTGAAATATCAGCTCACATTTCTTGATCTTCTAGTACACATTTTTGAATATTCAGTTTTATAAATCAAGTCATACCTGTTCTGTGTAATGTGATGTTATGTGTGGTAGATTTCATTTAGGGTGGGGTAGATTGCAATGATTTTAAATCAAGGCTCCACCTCAGGGACCTAGGAATGTTAGGTAGGAGATCAGAGGAGGTCCACAGCTTGCCAAGAACTTCAGCTATTCTAATAAACAATTTGATTACTGATGCTGACTCCTGCATACTAAACAGGTCACCCAAGCCTTATACTTGATGCTTGCTGTGATGGTAGTATTTGAACCACCCTTCCCACTGACATAGTCATTCATTTGTCCATGTAAATACCATTTTCTATTCATATGTCAGTATGTCTCCAACCATGGCAAGGTTTCCTATGGCCAAATGCCTTGCCTTGGCTTTTTGTAGATTTCTAGTATTGAAGAACTGAGTAGGTTAAAAAGAAAAAAAAGAATGTATGTGTAATAAAATATCATGCATTAAATGGTGGAATTTTAGGGAAGTAGATTAAAGTCTTAATTTGTCTGAAAATAGAATCAATAGTATATAAAAGGCCTTTGAAAATTAAATGCAAAATCATGAAAATTGTGCCTAAGAATACTATGACAATATAAGTTTTCTGCATAAAGAATCCGATTTTGCCGCCACCAATACTACCACCAATTAATATCCTCTCATAGGGAAAAAATATATTTGGTGACATGTTTAAAATGCCCTCAGTAGTATTTCAGGTGAATGCTCTTCAAAACAAACAGCTATTTATATAATAAAAGGTAGGCATGCTCTAGGTCCAAGGCAATTTTACCTATTTACACACATGTAAAGACCCAGAGTGAAGCCAGGGTCTTTATAATGGCTTCTAATGGCCAATATAATCTGCTCCACCCCACTTACCTCTCAGATCTATCTGCTCTTTCCCCTTCGTCCTTCTGCTCCATCCACAGTGACTTAACTGCCTTAACAGAACATGCCAGGCACATTCTCACACTTAAGCCTACGCACCAGCTGCTGCTTCTGCCTGGGATACGCTTCCCTAGGCATCCACAAGGCCTCCTCCCTCACCTCCTCTAAATCTCTGCTCAAACATCACTTTCTCAATAATGCCCGTGCTGTCCATCTTATTTAACACTGTGACTCTCCCCACTCTTGATCCCCCTTCATCTGCTTTTTCTATATGACATGTATCGCCTTCTAAGATCCTATGTAAGTTTTCTATGTAGCATGCTTATTATCCTTTTCTCATGTAGACTGAAATCTTCATGAGGGAAGAATTCTTTGTCATTTTTGTTCTCTGCTTACAATTCTGGACACATTGTAGGTGGACAGTGAATGTTTTTGAAATACGGAACATTTCAATGATCTGCTTGCTTACTATTGAATCAGGAACCCACTTTAATCATGTGGTATATTTCGACAGTCAAACTTACTTCCTTCTCAAAGACAAAAACGCTCATCTACCAAAAAAAAAAAAGTCTAGGAAAAAACAACCCAAAAATCAAATTCTCATTTCCAAATCCCAACAAAAAGATTGTTTTCTAAGGAAGTAATACAAATGGGTAAAATTGCAATTTCACACACAAACACAAGAAAAAAAAATAATGCATGAAAATGTTAGTGATAGTATTCTGGGTTTTACAGGAACAAAAAATGCTAATTGAAATGTCAAAGAGACTCAGTCAGAAATTGGAACCCAGAGAGGATTTCCTGTTGGACTTTTAAGTAACTCATCCTACCAGGGTGGTAGCGCCCACTGAAGGCACGAATGCCAAGCAAATACACCTTTACCTCTGCTTGTTATTCAGGTGCAGGCAACCCTCCTCCCAGATTTGGCTCAGCTCTGCCAACCTACGGCCCCTCATTGTTGGGGGAGAACACTCAGCCGCTGAAAGGTGAAGGAAGGTTCGCGGTTCTACCTGGTCATTGCACTTGTGTCTAAGCGCAAGTACCTGCAGCCTCGAGTCTGTGAAAAGCTAAATGGGTAATTCACAGCCTGGGGTTTCCGCAGGGTACCGCGCTCCTGGCCCCTGACACCTATCCAGCGACCCCAGGGTCAGGATGAATAACCTCTCTCACTTCGGGCCTGCACTCCTCAAAGGGCAAAAATGGGTCGGGGTGGCGTGTTAGGCCAAATTCTGCGACTTTTGTGAATTGGGTCCGTTTCGTGGAAATTTGGCACCGACTGGCCTGAGCGCAGACCTTACCCTGGGCCATTGGGGTCGCTGCACAGATGGCACCCGGCCCCGAGAGGAGCGTGACCTCCTGCTTCCGTGTCACCCGTCGCCGGGGCAGGGGGAGGCCCATACCCTCCAGGCTCCGCGTCCGCGTCGGGCATCGCGTAGCAGGACCCCGGGAAGCCACACCCGTCGGGGCGGGGCTCTGGCTCGGCTCAACCACTGCCCGCGGGGAGGGGGGTCCTACCAGCGGCTCGGTCCAGGCGCGAGCGCAGCCAAGCATCCTGCGGGTGCCTCCCCCACGCCGGCAGCCTCCCTGTTCCTGCCGCCCTTTCCGCGACCCCGAAAAGCCCCATGCTGCCCTTCCTGCCGTCTCCCGCTCCCTGCCCACTCCCCGCCTCGCGTGGTGCGGTCCGGGCCGCAGGTCACGTGACGGCGGGGGCGCGGTCTGCTCCGAGCCCAGGAGGTGCCTCTCGCGGCTGCTGCGAGCGTCTCGGAGCGGCGTTGGCGGCAGGAGTGATGCTGGGCCGGAGTCGCCTACCCTTCGTCTTCCTGGCCGTGGCCGTCACCTGCGCCGTGGCGCAGCACGCGCCGCCGGTGGGTGAGCTCGATCCGGGGGCGTCGGGGGTCGCAGGTGCGGGTGTGGCCGGGAGGGCGGGGCGTGAGCAACACCTGTTCCCGCAGCATCTTTTCTGCTGTCTGCGGTTTCCTGCGCCAGGGGTGGCTGAACCCCACCTGGGATTGATTCGGCACAGCTGGAACCGGAAAACCTTTTAGGGAAGTCCTGTTCTCTGCAGGATGGTGGTGGTGATTTTACACACCCCAGGATTTTTAGGGATTGCACTTGTTCCGCCAGTTCCGGGCTCGCGCATTCTGAACTGCTGAGAGAAGAAGTTCCAGCCGACTTGTGTACATAACTCAATTAAGCGAGGGACTGCTTGATGACTTGGGCATTCTCCGCCCCTGACGAGGTGCTGAAGAAGTTGCAGGTGGGGATCCGAGCGCCCTGGGAAAGGCCCAGGCTTCCCCATTCAGGGCAGTGGGAGCAGCCCAGGCCGGCCCCAAGTGGCTGCTGCGCCTTCACCCCGAGTCATGGGAAGGCCTGTCCCGTGGCTCTTTCCCCACAAGGAAGTCCCAGGAACACAGACTGATCAGTGCAAGAGGGAGCGAGGCACCAGCCTGACTGTGGTTTTACAAAGGAGGAAGTCCACTGAGTGAGAAAATGTCTAGCCAGCGGTCACACTTTTGTTTACTGCAGCATGCCTAAACTCGGCCTCTTGACACAGAGGCTGGTGCTCTTTCATAATTCTCTTCTTTAAAAGCACAAGACTACATTTTTCTTTGCCAACTGATCAGATAAATAGGACTTGACCTGGAACGAGATGAGGATGAACTGGAATAGCTTAGATAGGATATTGACCGTGGGAGCAAGATATGTTCCCTCTTATTCTTTTATTTCTCTAAGGAGAAATGCTTGACAAATAAAACCATGGTGGGATATTAATTACCCATCAAAATATATCACGACAAGCAAGTACGAGAAGAATACAAAATAGTATGTATGTACAGTGATTTCAGTAACAGAAAAAAGTACAGTATATACATGTGGACAAGGCTTGGAAGAGTATAAGGAAAAATAAAATTAATATTAGAGTGGATAGGGAATTAATTCGCTTTGAGGTGGTTGTAATTACAGGAATGTTTAAAGAACTTACTACTTTGATGCCATCCATGCCCTTCAGCCAAACCTCCCAGGAAACACACCTGTAGTTGAACAAATTATTACTCTTCGTGGTGATGGAGAACGCACACCATGGGTAACCGTGGGGCCTCTCAGTAAAGGGCATTAGAAAAAACCTATTTCATAACCTGGAGTTTGGTTGTGTGAGTTGGAGGTATGTGTAAGGAATCGAGGTTTGCTGCATATTGACTGCTTTTAGAAAGTGGGGCAGTTCCATGATTGGGTAAAGAAGAAACAGTCATTCATTTAGCAAGAGAAGGGGGTGTTTGGTATTTTGTGGGTTGCATAGTATCTTTGTTTTCCTCTGTGCTGAGATGGAATCATCAGTGGCTTTGCTTTGCCAGGCTTTATCCTGTCTCAGAATAAGCTTAACTGAGGTAGGCGTTCTGTGAGATTGGTTATATCCAATAGGAGAACAGAAATGGCCTGTTGGCAGCAGACCAGCTTGTGATCATATGGAGGTCTGATTGTGAACCTCAGAGAAGTTTCTGGTGTCAGGAGCTGCTCTTTTTTTTTTCCCTCTTTCCCAATACTTTACTTTTACAAGCAAAACCATTTTAAAGGCCGTTTTTAAAACAAGAAGAACCTACAGGCTCCATGAATTTAATAGTTCCTTACGAGAACATTGGTTGTCAAAATCTAGTCCAGCTACTGGTGTTAGTTTGGGTAGCTTTCATAAGTCTTTTTTTTTATCCTCACTCGAGGACATTGTTCAGATAGAGCGGGAGGGAGAGAGAGGAAGAGAGAGAGAGAAACATCGACGGGAAGGGGCACATCCAGTGGCTGCCACCCACACCACCCAACCAAAGCTGGGGACAAACTACAACCGAGGTACATGCCCTTAGCGAACCCGGGTCTCTCTGGACCGCAGGCCGACACTCTAACCGCTGAGCCAAACCGGCCAGGGCCATAAGTCTTTAATGAATTGGGAACAATGAGAGCATAAAATTGAAATTATTAAGTCAGAATGTTAACTGTTATTCTGATTTTATGGCCTTCCAATTTTTGTTGTTAAAATTGTTTTTTTTAATGTGTGTGGGGTTTTGTTTTGTGTAGTAACCTCTTCTCTTCGGAGAATAAGACTTCGTACTACTATGTGCTGGGCCCTTCTTCATATTTTTACTGATCTGGAAAATTCTGGGAGCCACTGGCTAAAAGGATCTTTGGAATCTCACAGAAGTTTAGTGACCTCATTCTCTGACAAGAGTAAGCAGTTTCTCTCTTTGAATCATTTTACATGATAAACTGTAGCCACATAGGAACAAAAGATATTTCAAAACTGCTGATAAATGTGAATAAGTTGAATCATTTGATTTGGAATGTCTGTGGGCTTTGTTTCTTCTTGTTTTTGAGGCTTTTCAGAATATAGCATATTTTTAAGGTTTTCCTGAGTCATTCTTTTTTTTTATTTTCTTAATTGATTTTAGAGGGAAGGAGGGAGGGAGGGAGAGAGAGAGACAGACAGACAGACATTGATGAGAGAGAACATCAGTTGGCCACCTCCTGCATGCCCCCGGCTGGGGATTTGGCCCACAACGTGGGCATGTGCCCTCACCAGGAATCGAACCAGCGACCTCTTGGTGCATGGGTCAATACTCAACCACTGAGCACACCAGCTAGACACCTGAGTCATTCTTTACTATTGATTCTATTAGGAAACCTATTAAGAGATGGTGGTAATGAACCCTGGCTGGTTTGGTGGAGTGTCAACCCATGGACTGAAGGGTCACAGGTTTGATTCCTGGTCAAGAGTATGTACTTGTGTTGCAGGTTTGATCCCCGGCCCTAGTCAGAGTCATGTGGGAGGCAACCAATCCATGTGTCTCTCATATCGATGTTTCTCTCTATCCTTCTCACTCCCTCCCTCCTACTCTATCTCAAAAAAAAAAAAAAAAAAAAAAAAACAGTGGAAAATCTTTCAGTGAGGATTAACAGAAGAGAGAGAGAGAGAGATGGTGGTAATGTGATAATGTGAGAGGCACAGAAAAGTCTGGAGAGGGAGATGGAGATAGTCATCTGGCTCTTAGACCTTGTTAAGGATTTTGGAATCTGTCCTAAAAATAATGGGAAGCCACTGGATAGTTTTATTTAAAAAATTTTTTTTCTTTATTGATTTGAGAGAGAGAGGGAGAGAGAGATAGAAACATCGATGAGAGAGAGCATAGATTGGCTGCCTCCTGCATGCCCCTTACTGAGGATTGGGCCCACAACCTGGGCATGTGTCCTAGCTGAGAATCGAACAGGTGACCTCTTGGTGCATGGGTCAACACTCAACCACTGAGCCACACTTACCGGACTCCACCACTGGATAGTTTTAAACAAGATATGACAAGATACCATTTTCACTTTACAAAGATCATTTGGATTGAAAGGGAGCAAGGGTGGATGTGAGGAGTTCAGGGGAGAAAATGGGATGACTTACAGGAAGGGGTACCAGTGGAGAAGGAGAGAAGTGGATGGTTCTAGAGAAAAGTAGGAGGGAGAATGAGCAGAACGAAGGATTGGATGGGGATGAGGGGAATGCGCCTTTCTGAGCTGCTCAGCTGGGTGAATGGTGGCATCACTACCAGGGAACACAGGGAGGAAAACGTTTGGGGGTGGAAGAGTGAAGATCATTTTCATTCTGGTTATGTCAGACTTCCTGTGGCACCAAAATACCCAGCAGGCCTTTGGGCCTGGAGCTCAGGAGAGAGATTGGGAGTCATAGGCATATTACTTGAAGCCATTGGAGCAGATGAACATGGAATAGGTAGAGGATATAGAAAGAGAAGAAAAGAAGAGGCCTAACACGTATGAGGTGATATGTCATTGTGGTAATGGTTGTCATCAGTGAATCAACAAGCAACAAGTGTTGGCGAGGATGTAGAGAAAAGGGAACCCTGTGCACTGTTGGTGGGAATGCAGACTGGTGCAGCCACTGTGGAAAGCAGTATGGAGTTACCTCAAAAAATTAAAAATGAAACTGCCTTGTGACCCAACAATTCCACTTCTGGAAATTTATTCAAAGAAACGCGAAACAGTAATTCGAAAGAGTATACCAACCCCTACGTGTATGGCAGCATCATTTACAATGGCCAAGATTTGGAAGCAGCCCAAGTGTCCATCAGTAGATGAGAGGATAAAACAGCTGTGATAGTTACACAATGGAGTACTGTGCCGTAAAAAGGAAGAAAATTTTACACCTTGCAATAACGTCGATGGACTGGAGAGTATTATGTTAAGTGAAATAAGCCAGTCAGAGAAAGACAAGTACCGCATGATTTCACTGATGTGTGGAATTTAATGAACAAATTGAACTAACAAGCAAAATAGAGACAGACTCATGAATAGAGAGCAGGCAGCAGCTCTCATGAATAGAGAGCAGCAGCCCTTGTGGAGAGGGCGGTGTAGGGGGGATGGAGGGATGGAGCAAAAAGGAACGAAAAAGAACTCGTGAACAGTGTGACTGGGGTGGGTGGCGGTAGAAGAGGGTATAGGGCGAATAAATGGTGATAAATATATATATATTATTTGAAATATATATGAAAACTAAGGATCCTATTTTACATGGGAGTTTTGTCTTTTGTTTTTAATAAAACCAAAGAAGTTAAGAAAGGCAGGCCTAGGCAAAGGCTGCGGCGCAGGTGCGCGTGCCAAGTAGAAAAGCATGAGCGCATTAAAGCAGCAGCCAGATGGGGGAGAGAGTGCTGGGGAAGCTCTGAGCATGGGACAGGTTACCTGTGCTGAGTGCCATTGAGATGTCAGGTGTCTGTCGTGCTTGGCAACTGGAGGTCTTTGGTCACCTTGGCCAGTGCAGTGTCGGGAGCAGGTAACAGCTGCAGTAGGCTGAGGAGTGATCAGAGGGAAAGGAATCGGA